AATTAATAAAAATTTTAAAAATTATAAGAATTTAGCAAAATGTATAATTTAATCTAATATTTATTTTTTATATTTTTGAATATATACTATATATACTGATATAATTTAAATAAATAAAAAATATTACTTTAATTAAAAATTTTTCTATTAACAATTTTTTGAGGTACAAATCTTTTGTATCAGCCTATATATATAATGAAATATTAATAATTTTAATTTAATTTAAATAATACAATAATTATTAAAATAATTTATAATTATATTTAATATTTGTAATTAATAACTATATAATAAAAAAGAAATATTATTAAGTTTATTAATAATTTCATTTTAATAAAAAATATTTTTACTTATAAAATAAATTAATTGACTACATAAAAGAATTTTTAGAAAATTAAATGCTAAGAAAATTTTGATTAAAATTAAAAGCTTAATGCATTTTAATTTAATAATATCAAAAACTAAAATGCAAAAAAATCTTAATTATGTTAAAAATTTCCAGAATCTAATTTTTCTAATAATCAATACATATAGAAGATTAATTGTATAATATAATAAATATTACCATTTTTATAAAAGTTGTATGTTATAACCTATAATATGAATTATGTATTGATAATTTTAATCATATTTATCATTAAATATATGAGATTGATTTTTTATAAATGATATTTTTTTTATTAATATATTTATATATTAATTATATATTACTTCTAACAAAATAAAATTATTTACAAATTTTTAGTAAAAGGAAAGCAACCATTAGTTTTAAATAAGAAATCATCAGTCAATAATAAAATAACTAATTAATTTACATTAAGAAAATAAAAAAAGTAATACTATTAAAATTTGTTAGATTATTAATAATAAATTTGATTAAAATAAATAATAAGGAAATAAATACATCAACTTGTCAAAAGTCCTAACTTTAGCAAGTTAACAAACTCACCAACAAGTGAAATCTAGCATATATATATCTTATTATATTTGACATATCAAATGGTAGGAAATTCTTGATGATTAGACATTATTAAATGTTTCTAAGCTGTATAATATATTAATTAACCAACGAGTTATATATCATTTTTCTACAGAACTCCTTTACATTTATAAATAATAAAATATTGCATTAAAATATATTGCATTTTCAGCAAAAAATTTAAATCACAATAAATTGCAAAACATTTCATTATCTATTGACCGATGCATAAACTCGTTAGACGTGTCGAATGGTAAATGTAGTTCTAGCATTAATGAATAGAAAGTTATTAACATTTTATACAGTTTAGAAACATTCAATAATATCCAATCATCTATCAATTCTAGAAACATGACTTTACATCATTCGACGCGTATGGCATGAAGAATAAAACGAGCTTGTATTAAAATAAGTTGGCACATGGCTTCAGTTTAACTTGCTTGATTGGCAGATTGTTATTTGCGAATGCGTCTTTTTTTTTATAGGATTTGTCACAGTGACTTTAATTATTTATTGTATGCCTTATTATCTATTCAACTACAAAATAAATATTTTGCCATTTTTGATTAAAATAGCAGAAAATAAGAAGTTAAACAGCGGACAGGATCCTAAATTTTCTATAGTGAAACAAGATTTATGTGAAAAGCAATACGATACTCCTGAATCTAAGGCAGTACCTAATCAGAAGTGTTCTTCGGTTAAATAAACAAAATCAATGAAAAAGAAAAACACTATAATTCATGTGTGAAGATTTATTTATTTGACTGATTCGTAATATGTAACGAGAGAATTTATTAGAAACCGAAAAGATTCCCTATCCAATTATCAATTCTAATATACAGTACAATCACTTGTAATTCACACGACGCTACCTAACATATCGTTTATCGGATGTCTTTTAATAATCATGATTAAAAAAAAAAATAAGAATTGCGGCATCATACATATGTAATAATGTGATCGAAGTTACTAATGTTTCGGAATTTTTGATTTTAGTTGTCACTTTATCATATCAAGTATTTCAATATTTTAATAACGGCAAAATTTACATTGAAATATAATTTTAATACTAATTTATTATGGTAATTTTTAGAAGTTTCAAGAATCGAATATACAAAAACATCAAGAAATATTAATATGGATTATTAAAATTAGATCAAAGAGATCAATTTAAGAAATATTTGCTTTTAATGGAGTATGCTGATAGTGGTACACTTCGAAGTTATTTGAAGAAAAAATTTCATAAGTTTAATTGAATTATTCCAGATTTTCGTAAAGTCTGCTTCATTAAATAAATGAGGTTTCGGCGAGAACCTTGACTGTAAAAAAAAAAAAAACTTGGTTAGGGTCTGCCATATAGATATCAGAAAATTATCAGAAAAGAGTATAGAATTGCATCACTTAATTACCAAGTAAGAGATTATAGAAGTTTTTCTCCAATTAGCTTCGAAGAGTACCACGATCAATACACTCCATTACAAGCAAATATTGTTTAAATTGATTACTTTGATTCCTAGGAAGTAAGAGAACATTTATTTTTAATTAGATTAAAAATTAAATAACAATCAAATTTGAAAATTTTTGTTATCATAACTGCTTCATACTTTGTTCTAGAGGTTGGCTTCAATGCCAATATAATTCAACTAATTAAAAGCAACTGTTTAAATTTTAAAGAGATTAGCCGCGTTGTAGGTGTTATCTGCTTAATAGCTAACGTATAAAAGCATAGGTTTTTCATACCATCCGCCATCTTTCTTCAAACATAAAACATTGTCCAGGCTCAAATATTGCATCAGGTCTTCAACTTCCAAGTATGAATTATAAACATTTTTCTAATACTCTTATCCAACTCACTTTTTCAAGTAATAAGTTAAATATTCATTTAGATATTCTTTCTGTACAAGTAACTAAAAGTTAAGAGTCGAGTTTGTTTGAAAGTTTACAATAGATCAAAGTTACGGGAGAAGAAACTGGTGGTTCACAAATTATTGTGTGGATTGGACAAGTTCTTTTGATTATTATGATCTCCTTGTTCAGAAGATTTATATATCATATCCTTTTTCATTAACATAAATTATCAAATTAAAAAAATTAAAATTAAATTATTTTAATTATTTGAAAGACAATTATTAACTCATGTTCAATATTACCAAATTCAAAACTTATTGCTTACTTGTACTAGTGCAAGGCAACTAAAATCCATTTAGATACTTCATCATATCAAATATTCAAAAAAAAAAAATCGTGGTAACTCCATTAATGAATAGTCATCAATACTCAAGGATATTGATATTCAACAGTTTTTGTTTTGTTTGCGATTAGACAATTTCTTTCCAATCCTTTCAACGAGAACGGCTTCCTGGATACATCTAAGGAAATATATGTATGATTAGTATAAAACAATTATGCTTTAAACATAAAATTATGTTAAATATAATTAGCAAAATGAAATTAACATAATCTATGGGTGTACCTGAAATATTTTTTCTCGACCGCCTGTAATGTTTGTAGTCAGATCACGTCGCAAACTTTAAAATGAGGATAATCATTTGATATTCCAAAATTCATAAACTTGATAGTATTTTGATGAATAAAGTGCTATTAATAAAAGAACTTAAAATTACAATTGTTATTTTTTAATTTAAATAATTACCAAATTGCAATAAATTCTCTCATCAAGACCATCATGAAATTGTTCCTTTTGAAGAGTACTAACTATCAGCATATTCAATTATGTCAATTGATTATCAAGGAAAAGAATACTTTTAAAATAACAATAACAAAATTGAATATTAATGGTTTTGATTTCCATTGAGGCTACACCTCTTTGACAAATATAAATAAATCCAATTCGATAAAAATAAACATAATGGCTCGTATTATTTTACGAATTACAAGTCGGGGGAAAATTTCATTTACAGTGGCGAGATTAAAGAGACTTATTCCGAATTTTCCAATCGCGCGGAAGACTTTTCCTATTTCCAGAATATTAATAAAATTTTAGTGCTCATAGTAATTTAAAATATCCTTTATTATTACATGATAAGGATGGTAGGGAGTAAAAAGAAAAAAAAAATTTTTTTTTTTAAAAAAAAAAAGATGTCCGGTCACGTGATTTAGATTGCTGCGCCGAAATTAACGATGATACATTTTATATTATATTTTGAACGAACAGAACGCGTATTCTTGAACATATTAAACCTATCGCTTTTGATGACTCATATTTCAAAATGTATATTCGTATATTTAGGGCTCCGTCAATCTGAACGCGCCTTCTTATGGACCGATATTTGATATACATAACTCGACAAAAATTTATGTATGGTATGGATTTTTATGGAATGTATGGTTTGTATGACATATATTTCCATACACTGTATGGATTTCTAAAATTTCGGAAATAAATAATAAAGTTTTTAAATTTTTTAATTTGATTAATTAAATTCTTCAATTTGATAAATGCAAAATTTTTAATTAATTTTTAAAAATTTTCTTAAACTTAACACCTTATTTACTCATTATAATATAATGAATTAAACAAACAACTATCAACGCGACTTATTATTTTTCTTTGTGTTCAAATCAAATCCGATCATTTTTTAAGATAATTGAAAATATATCTGACGATGAAATTATATTTAATTTAATCTATTAAATATATAAATATTCTATACCGGTATGGATTGAAAATTGAAAATTCCATACCAGTATGGTTTTTGCGGCGAATAATCATACCGGTATGGAAAAATCATACAAAAATTGACGGTAATGAGAATTTCTGTATTGTATGGATGTTTATGTATGTCTGTATGCTATTTTTTTTAACTTAATGTATGCTAATGTATGGTTCGTTCATACATCAATACATGATTCTTATATATAATAATAAATAATTGTGTATGATTGTATGGATTGCGAATTCATGTGATCCATACATTTATAATTAACCAATAGAAAGTTTGACAAATCGCCTCATTTATTTTTTTTATTATTACAAAAAATAGCGCATGATTTGTTTAGTTTATTTTATCGCAAAGCTACAAATATAAATTGAAAAGAAAAAACTACTCATTTCATTATCATATTTTTTTCTCTGATTTTCTAATTCCAATTCTTCAGCTTTAGCTTCTATAAGTCGTGCTTCTGCTTCAGCTGTTCTTGCTTTAATTTCACGCTCCCTCAACCTCATCTTTCTCTCTTCAATATCTAATTCAAGCATCTTTCCATGATCAGTCTTAGATAATATTGTTTCCTCATTTTCTGATGCAGAATCTTCTTGTCTTTTCTTTGCTTAGTTTTGTTAATAGTAGAAGAGTGTTTTTTTTTCTTTAATGGCGATTTATCATTTGTCAAATCAATACTGTATTTTCGAGTATGAGATTCTATATTATTGAAAAAATATTAGAATTTTTAATATAAAATTAACTAGTAAAAAATATATAATTTTACTTACCTTTGCGCTTTATTGATATTTGCATTCTCTTGACTTCACTTTTATCTTGATGAGTACGAGGGACTCCTGTTTTGTCATGAATATCAATTGTCTTATAACATCGTTTATCATATCTTTTTCCTCTATTAAAATTAATTAAAATTATTTAATTACAAAATTATTTATGAATTTATAATATTAAATTTAAAATTTAAGAAAATTATAATGAAACTCACTAACCTTAAAATTGCTGCTAATAAACTTAATTGTTTTCCTTCTTTATTTACCATAGCATGAGCCGCTTCTGGCAATATTAGTATTTGTACCACTCTTGCGCCATATCTCATGATCAATATTTGAAACATATTGATTTAAAGAAGCCGTAACATACAACTGTACATAATAATTCAACCAGTCAAAAAAAATTAACATTTTTTTTAAAAATATTCTATGATATTTTAATCAAATAATATATACCTTTTATTCCTTCATTATTTGTATTTTTAATTTGCTGTAAAAGATCATAGACTTGTTCTTTGCTAAACATATTGGGAATTTGTCTTATTAGATCTTTTGTATTTTTATCAAATGATTTATTGCGTAAATTTCTAAAAATTTTTAATTAAATTAGAATTAAAAATAATTTAATATATAAATAAATAATAAATTAATTAAATCGAAAATTACCTTTCAAAATGTATAAAGCATGATTTAAAAATAAAAGGTTAAATGAGTTTTCCAATCTCTTTCATGATCTAGATCATGCAAGGCTAATCCTAATCCTTTAGCTTGTGCTGCATCTAAATCAGCTAAAATACAACCGATACCTTGTTTGTGAATATGCTGAAATTTAATAGGTTGACCGCTTACTTCATTAATTACTTTAAATAAAGATAAAAATAATCTGTGATATCCTTCTGCTGTAAAAACATTTGTAAAGACTCGACATAATGATAAAACTACAATAAAATAATAAAAATAATTTAAGTTTACATATAAAAATACAATTAATTATAAAAAATTATTTACTTATGATCAGAATCATAAGTATTTATTTCAAATTCATTAATTTCTCCTTTTACACGTTTAAAACTAACATCAATTTGAAACCATTCAAGTGTAATTAACTTTTTAGCTTGTTCAGCAAGCATACATATAATAATTACTTGACTATCATTTGTATAAAGATCTAAATAAATTAAAATTAATTAATTAACTTCAAATATAACTTATTTATTGAAATTAATTAAAATTATACTTATCAATTTTGTGAACATAATGAATCAAATCAGAATTTATATTTGATACATTATGATAAACACCCATAATTCCTTGACCAAATAGATGTAATGTTTTGTATGCCTTTCCTATTAAATAATGTAATTTGTCAACATTATTAAGTGATACATAAACTTCAGTCAAAGTCTCCTTATTGAAATAGGTTTTAATTAAATTTTCTATTAATAATATATAAAAATTAAATTAATAACATTAATCAATAAATAAATAATTATCATTTATATTTTATACCTAATAATAAAGATTTTGGAATAATAGTATCATTTTCATGAATTACTTGTTCAATTAAGGATTTTAAATTATTTTAATTCCAGAAGTTGTTTTTTCTGGTGTTGGTGGGGATGATTATAGATTCCAATGCAGACAAGAGTAACAAAAAGACATTCAGTAATATTATTTATAATAAATTTAATAAATCTTACTAGACAAGGTTTATTAATAATTCTATCAGAATCAATAATTCCATTATTTATATGAACTACATTTTAGAAAAGTAATTAGTTAAATAATTAAATATTTAAAGTTTAATGCATAAACTTAATATATTACTACATTTTTTA